CTTAAATATGCACAATATCGTTTACTTCGACTATACAATGAGGTAAAAAATGTTATTCATTGACTAGGTAGAAGTGATGAATAAAATTTTTGAATTATATAAAACAGTATTCAGGCAGAATTGGCATGAATATGTTCCATATTTCATTCGTTGTGTGTTTTATGTTCAATTACCAGTAAATATTATTCGATCCAATTCTACTTAGCCATTGTTAGCTCAATCCGGATTAAATTAACCAGTGAATGTTTGTATAAACTTTCTGTTAACTAAAAATTACATTCCAACAAATGGATTATATCATTTTTGATGAGTATTCTACTTTCAATATGAGTATTTCACTTATTCAATGCTTTCATCGTTTTTTTTATTGGGCAGTGCTGTGTTTTCATATACTCAGCTATAACATTTTATTGAATAAGTTATAGATCCTTCGAAATTTCACATTCCTAGTATCAACGTATAATTGTAGTTACTGATTAAGATTGGTCCTGTAAATTTTATAATTCTTATAGTGGAGACAAATATTAACGATATCACGAAATTAAACATCGTTAATCGAAATGATGCTAAGAAATATTCGTGTCTAGAGAAGGTGCGTGACCTCGGCTGTCCATGGTCGAATAATATTTATTAATAAAAATTTAATTCAACGACTTACCTGTAAGAAGGTTAAGTCCTCAATTATACAGGGTGGGGCACCCCATACGACACGGTTCCTATATATTGATTAGGCCTGCAGAAGGAAATCATTTTTGGAGTCTACAGGGCGGCTCAAAAAAGTGTGACATATCAAAGTTGTGTGTTTTTTATGAAACACCCTATATTTCGTTACACTCTTGAATAGGTCAGGAAAGATTTTTTAATGGAAATGCTAGTTATAATTGGAAACTAAATAACATCAAAATGAATAGAAATTCTCCCTTTGAATTCTTACCAAGCATAAAAGAGAGTTTGTGCTATTGATTTCTATAAAACCCATTACTCAATATTATACAGAATGTTCAAAAACATTGTCACTTTTTTATAATTTCCAACAAAGATAACTTTGTTATTCAAGATGGACCACCCTGGTTTTGTTTGGTTTGAACAGTACAAAATTCAATTACTTCTCATATCATTATGGAGTTATTAATAGGTATATAGTACCCTATATGAAATCATATTACTTTTTGTTGATGTATTCAAAAGTGTTACAACATACAGGATGTTACATTTTTAAAAAAAGAACTTTGAAATGTCACACTTTTTTGAGCCACCCTGTAGATTCCAAAATTATTTCCTTCTGCAGCATCAATCAATAAACATATCATGAAATGAAGAAATTCCTTTCTGTAGCCTTAATCAATATACATATAATAAAATAGAGAAATTCTCGAAAACATTAATGATTTGGTTTACAGGGACCGTGTCGTACGGGGTGTCCCACCCTGTATGAACTAGCGGCTACATCTAAATTATGGAGTCATCGATAAACAAATTTGATATAGCTAGTGTAAATGAGGATTGAACATTTTCACAAGTGAGTTGTTTAATCTCTAATTGTATAGGTGATATTTAAATAATCCATAAAATTATTTAACAAAAAAAAAAACAACGGTATTGTCTTCATTTAAGCGATCTAAACCATATAATTGATACTTTATTTCATCGAAGACTTATCATTTCAGATGAATATGCTATATTTCTAGTTGTTGTTTATAACATATAAGATGATGAATTAAAATTTATTCGTAAATATTATTCAAACATGGACAGCCGGGGTCTCGCACGTTCTTCAGGCACCCTGCTTCTCCATATTAATGAAAAAAGTGTGTAGAGTTCACTTTGAAATAATTTTCATTATTTCTTTCTTTGCAATATTCCCACATTTTTTGTATGAAGAAGGATAAGTAGAAAGTCAAAACGTATATTTCCCAAAAATAAATCTTTCCTAAAAATTTAAACAAGAGTCCTATTGCTGGAATTGAATCAAATAAACGAATGAATGTCATGAAAAAATGATGATGTCAGAACCGGTTCCTCTCTCGTCGGACAGACTCTCAATGTTTAGTGAGCGTTATACATATATTGTTGACAGTATTATGAAAATCTAACCAGCAAGCACGGAATATTCTTTCATTATGTGAAACGTGGGTTAAAAATGATCATATTAATTTTGTGTATGTACATTATTAGAACCATTATTTAGTCTTCAAAAAGTAACAATTGGCTTATGGTAGCTATGTACATACACAAAATAATACATGAAAGTATCTACTCAACTTTTATATTCCTAAGGTACCTCGTCAAATTATGATTACCTAGAGTCCTAGAGCATCTCATATCAATTCTCCATCAATAATACAATTTCGGTTTCTTAAACAAGTTCAGTAATGGTGATCTATTCAAATCCAACTGTAAATTCAGTAAAATGTTTGAATTTTTAAGTTTATTAATTATTCATAAATAACCTTTCCTTACATTATCATATTGATATACATAAAATTAAAGTAATAACCCAAGCTTTTCTCAAGTTGAACAATTGCAATATTAAATAGTTCAATTCTGATTAGTTCAATACGTTGACTGCCATGTGTTTATAAAAGTATACACACAAGTTGGGTCCTGTACGCCGCGTGTATAATTTCGTATATACCAACAACAACTTGGTTCTGGCCGTGTGTATGCTACTAGAACACGCTCAGAATATGTTTCTTAGTGGAATGATTGACGTGGCGTGGACTTACACGTCTAGCAACTTAGCCAAAAAAAAAATTGAAATATGTTTGAAATATAATAAAATTCAATAACTACAAGTAAAGTAACATACCCACAAAACATGCAAAATATGAAATGAAAATGTATTCTACTTTTTGAGTGTAATATGATGTGGAGAAAAAAAAACATTCCAAACAAAGTAATGGCTCATCTGTGCATGCTAGACATCGCGAAGAAACTTGTTTTGTTTTTTGTATCGCAAATTTATTGGAGCCGTTTCGATCTTTTCCTTGCCAACATTCAAAAGTTGTATGCTTACATTTTCTTTGAAATTTGTGATTTCGTTGGTTGCGTTACCCTCATTTTTTATTGTATAAATAGTGGGCATTAACAACGCTTGCTCCAATAATGAGTTCAATGGCAATTTTTTGAACCATTTTATGCTTCGTCGCAACGATGTTGAATAGGAAGATATCTGATCGGATTAATCGACATAACTTTTAGCTTTATTATACTCCATTAAAGCTTTCGGCTTGAATTAGGCACCATCTCTATCATTAATTTCTACCATTTCGTCGGCGTGTTTCGTGGATAACATCATTACATCCCTTTTGTGTTTTCATTTGAAGACAACTATTCCATTCTTTTCCCGGCCAATTACTTCACCTTTCTTTATTTTGGCATTCACCACTTCATTGAGCAATCCTGTTTTTTCAAAACGCCAACTCCAAACTTGTATACCAATTATAAGTGTAGAGTGTAACTCCTTTATCGAAATTTTGTTCCATTAATTTCAGGACAACTTTTGTAGCAATACTAATGCCTTCAACTTTATCTTGGCCACAATATATCTCAGAATGAAACGTGTAACCTCCGTTGATTCATAATTTGTAGACTTTGATACCAAACTTATTGCGTTTCTCCTTGACATACTGGCGAAACTTGAGTAGGCCACGAAATGGAACCATTGTTTCACCAATATACATGTTTCCTTCAGGCAAAACGAATATTTTGAATTCCACATTCAGCAAATCAACAAGTGGTTGAACTTTATATAATCTGTCACCTTCTGGACATAGGTCATTATCGGAAAAATGAAAAACTCGAAATCTCGAATCTATTGCGTGACATAAATTTAGGTGCATTTGACAAAAAAAGATCGGATTTTCGCTAATAGTCAGAAAGTGACGGCTTTTTATCTAACCCCATCCACATCAAAATTCCCAGGAATCTATATACTTCGTTTCTGTCTGTAGGATACCATTTATTCAAACGTGAAGATGGTCCTATGATTTCTTCAATAATGCCTTTTACAATTGTTTGTTCTGCTTAAATATTTGTTTGAGTAACAATGGAATCCACAAGTTCGTCAATGAATAATTTATAGTAGGTATGCCAGTTCATTTTGATTTCTAATTTAAACAAGATCATCTGTCACTCTAATATCTTCTACGAAAGGAAATTCTGCAAAGTTACCAACAACTAGTCCTCATAACTCTTCTGTATTATCGGTATCGCTCCCAATCGCTTCCCCCAGCTGTTCACTTTCAACATCACTAGACGTTTCAATCAACTGGTTTCGATCTTGAGTTTTTTTTTTATTTGAGACAGCCATACGAAATTGAAAATTTTCGTTTTCTACTCACTAGTTCTGAAATAAGTAATTGGTATTGAAAAAATAAAAATTTTATACTATTCATTTATACTCATACTTCGCTCGAAGACGTATCCGGGCTATTACTGTCACTTTCTGGACATGTGTAGACCGGATCAGCGTCTGAATCGTGTAAGGTTTCTTCTTCGTCGTCACTCATGTCCATAAGTGCCTGTAAATAGTCCTGTTCACGTTCGTAAGATATTTCACACACTTCTAATACCTCAATTATGCCTCTACGCAATATAAACGGTAATTGACCGCACAGAGCGCAGTATTAAACTTATTTGCTTTTATACAAGTTCAGATCTGAAGCTGTGTATTCTAGAGAATACACATGGCGCGAAAATACATGACAACATTTATACGCCACGTGTATCTCTGAGTCACACGGGGGTGAAATATGGTAAAATGGGAGAAAAAGTAATTTCACTTTATTATAGTAAGTACAAAATGAGTCATTGTTAAAAAAAGTCATTTTGAAAATTGGTGTGACCTTTCTCAAAAATTCCCGCGATAGTCAACGTGTTAAGTTATCACTTCTTCGGGCGTCCTGTGACGCACGCGTTTTTTTGTATGAAAATTTCCATGGATTTCGTTTCACCATCAGTTTTTCAATACGGACCTGAGTATTTTTTTGAATATCAAGTATGTTATCCTGATTGCTTACGTTCGGACGACCTCAAATCAATTAACTTCATTTTATTTCAATTTCAGTAATAAAATTCCTCCAATAACTCACATTTACTTTCTCATTTTTCCAGGCTACGTCGACATAGCAGAAAATGACGAGAAAGGATTAGAAATTGCTATCGCAACTATTGGTCCAGTGACTGCTGCCATCGATGCAGGTCAGGAAACCTTCCAGTTTTACTCTGAGGGTATATACGACGATCCAGCATGCGGAAATAAACCGGAACAGATGAATCACGCCGTTCTGATCGTGGGATACGGACAAGAACCGGACGGCAGGAAGTACTGGCTAATCAAGAATTCTTATGGTCCCCAGTGGGGAATGGGGGGATACTTCAAGATGGCCAAAGAAGCAGGAAACCAGTGTGGGATAGCTATTCAAGCGAGTTATCCTTTGGTTTAATGAGGTGAAATAATGAGGACAAATATTCGATTATTTCAGAAACGGTTTACATGTTTAATTCAAGTGATGTTCAGGAACAAATCTGATGATTGGTGCAAAACACACTGATTTCAGTTTAATGTGTATTCCCTTCAACGTTATTTAGGCACCAATCATCTTCTAAATGGAATCAAATTCAACTTTCAATGTTATCAACTACGGTTAAAATATATTATCTACCCTTACTTATCACTTGTATAATTTTTTGATTGATTCGAATGTTACTTGATGAAGATCCACAGTAATTTTATAAACTACACCTCACGATTTCATCTCCACAAACTTTATTATCAAAAATATATCACGACATGTTTCACTATCATAGTAGCTTTTTCATAGTTATTGACATACTAAAAGTTAATTCTATTATACACCGATTAAGTAATACAATTTCGGTTTCTAAAAAAGCAAGTTCAGTAATGTTGATCTATTCAAATCCAATTGGTAATTCAGTAAAATGTTTGAATTTTTAAGTTTATTAATTTCCATTGCTTCCAAATAGTTCAACTTTAAACCTTTTTTTCTATGTGCTAAATTTAGAAATCTTTATTAGATATGTTTTTACTTGATGTTGACTTGTTTTCTCATAGCTCATATGATGTTCCTGGATGCGATTTCTAAACTGGCAGAACATTTAGGAATCGCATCCAGGAACATTATATGAGCTATGTAAATGAGAAAACAAGACTTGTTTTCAGTTCAACATATTAAAAACATCTTTTAGAAGAAAATCATATCTTTAATGGGGATTTCGAAATTTTACACATGGAAAATGAAAATTTAAGGCTACATTTAATAAACTTGAAAATTTTACTGAATGACCGTTTGGATTTGAATAGATCAATATTACTCAACTTGTTTTCTTAGAAACAGAAATTGTATTATTGATGCAGAATTGATATAACATGCTCTAGGTAATTACAATTTGAGGAGGTAACTTAGGTATATAAAAGTTGAGTATATGATAGAATTAACTTTTAGTATGTCATTTACTATATGAGAAAGATACTGTGATAGTGAAACATGTGATATATTTTTGAAAATAAATTTTCTGAAGATTAAATTGTAAGGTGTAGTTTATGGAATTACTTGTATTCTAATATTGCATATGTATTCCTCCATTATAACAATGAAAGCTGGATGTGGTAGAGCAGTAGGTAGATGATTCAGATTGATGAGCTTTTTCACTCTTAATATCACAGTTCAGGCTGGATATTCATGGACCATATCTGATGATTCCTGAATAGTTGGGATTCAGCTGAAAAATGTATTGAATATCAAAAATCCAAATCTAGGCAACACAATCTCAGATATCACGATCTGAACATTTTAAAAATGTGACATTTAATTTACTCGTATTCACACCTTCCAAGACATATTAATTACTTCTTTTTCAACGCGTCAGTCTAGGCATAATCGATAAATATATTTGACTATTACAATAAAAACAATTCATATCAATATGGACTACGAAGTCATCAATGACCTTCAGAGTTCCATTTTATATTGTATCTTCCAATTTCTTCATCTTCCCTCGCCTCATCCTTCACCAATTGTCAAAATTCAATTTGATGCGATAATGAAATACGCTCATCCCTTTTAATTACCTCTAGGAGTTTGTAAAGTCAATATTCACCCTTTTCTGAATTTTTCATTATGAATACTTACATTACTCAGTGGAAAAAATTATTTTTTGGAAGTAAACTAATGTTTTCGTTGAAATAATTTCCATTCATTCATTTCTATTTGCTCACCAATAAAAGAAGAAAGAGATGAAGATGGTGAAATTTATTTTTTCAATGTAACTAGTCTGAAATTGAAGTTCAATGACCAATTTTCGTGATCAGTTTCAATAATCATTCTACTGAAGAAAGTAAGTAATCAGGAATATTTTCTTCAAATTTTAACAGTTATACAAAAGAATCAGTATGGAGATATAAAATGCCTTACCTCAATGCATCTTTCCTTCGATATCGTCAGTCTTCTAAGGTTTCATTTAACCATTACAACTGAGTATTGATCCAACTCTCTTTGAAAGGCTTCTTTTACATAATGATCAAAATTTTGCAGATCAATTTGCGAAACAAGATTATATTTACTCAAATGAGTTATTTTTGGGAATATGCAGATTATTACTGTTCCATAATGTATAATACAAAAATTATTGAAAATGAAAAAAAAATGTTTTATCGAATCAATTGGAATTATATAGGAGATTAATATTTGTATTACCTCTGCATCTAAGAAAATATAATAATTTTTAGGATAAGAACCTTTAGGCTTTCACTTCTTTATCTCACCATTTCTGTATATAAATATGAAAAAGTAAAAGCCAAAAAGCTTTTTTTCCAAAAACTCATGATAATATAATGAATGGAAAAATAATGCACATGTGTGGTAAAATTTAAGATTAAAAATAACTCGAAGTTGGGAAAGTGTTCTATTTGTTGGAGGTTCAACATATAAAAATATTGATGAAACACAATTTCCACTAATTCAAGAGTTTTGTTCATAATATACATTTAGACTAAATTTATACCTTGATTCAACTACTCGTACATCCTATATTGTTCAACATTCGAATTCACACTCAAATTATCTACTTGTAGATAGATATATTATGTATGTTCACAAAACTTGTGTATTTTTAGTTCAAAGTTTTGAGTTCCAAGCTGTTACCTATTTATAAGGATGTAGAAATTATGTTCGTCATGTATGATAATTTTCTCGAGTACATTACCACTCAATATGTCATTACCATTCAAAAAAAAAACAATATAAGTGTACTTGAGTATACACAAAACCTCAATAATCTAACGTGAATGACTTTCTCAGATTATTACAAGGACAATCTCTTCCGTATTTATAGATTTCAAGTGACGCAAGATGATTAATGATTCGTATATGCAAATGCAGACAATGATTATCTGAATAATAATAATGAGGTTTATTAGATAAATTGTGATCAAAAGAGCTCTTTCGAATGTCTGTTCTGATATCTATTAACGAAAAACAATTCACTAGGAAACGATTATGTAGAGTAGTTCGATCACTGCGTTCCAGGAATATAATTATTTGAAAAGATGAATCACTTCAAATTGTCAGATGTTGAGGGTGTCCTGAATATAATATATATTAAAATGAGTCACATAATTTGCTTGAATTGGGTTAATTATGAAAAACTTTTTGATTGTCAGCAAATATAAACTGATTATGATTCTGCTTATACACTCTTCCACTACTTATGTGTTTTTTTTATGAATGTGCCATATTGATCCGCACCTACATAATAAAGTTGTTTATTTCATTATACTTGATTTTTATTTTATTTCCTCTTCACTATTAGGTTGTTTAGAAAGTTTTATCCGTTTTTACGAGAACTTTAAACTTTACTATTTCAGTGAATACTTATTCAATTTAATCGAATCAGTTGCCATATGAATCAGTGCACTTTAGCCAACGTAACGCTAGTCGATTCATTCAGTCAGCATAAAATTGTGTGTTCGGGATTCGATGAAGTCGACGAAGGTCGTTATTGGCTGGTCCTGATTTGCGAAGGTTGTACCAATGAGAAAGTTATCGAAGTGTTCGAAAAAATGATAGTCGGTTGGCGAGAGGTCTGGGGAGTATGGTGGGTGAGACAGAACTTTGACATTTCGTCGATTTTCTCACAATTGGACTCTTCTGTGATAGTTTGGAAAGTTATAGTGAATCACACCGGCCGCGGCCTACAATAAAGTGACCATGGTCTTTTCAAATGGTTTTTTGCTTCAGGAAAGTACTTGGGTAGTTCACGGTACCCAACTTCTGTCCTGAATGTCTCCTGTTGTAAAATAATCCCATTTTCATCATACGTGATGATCCGATCCAAAAAAAGATCGTTTTGGTTGCGTAAAAGCAAAGAATATACCTCGAAACTCCAGTTTTTGCACCATCCCACGCATCATTTGCGATGGGTCAGTTCCCAAAATGACTAAATGACTGAACGGTTTTAGATGAAACTTCACATAAATACAGCTTATACATCAGAATAACATATAGTCTAGAATTTACAAAGGCTTTGCGTAATTCTGGTCATGATATAACGATAAGTGTACCTATTGAGTTAGTCGGAAAAATTCTTGCTCTCTGAGAACTATCTTGGCGTGCGCTGCCTACACCGTTGGAGATACATTAAGATAATGTACCGTAAAATTGTTTAACTCAAATAGTTCTAGATAAAAAGTCTCCGATAGCATATAACTACCTTTAATGTGGTAGCAACTGTATGCAAATTACTTAGACATAAATACAATTAAATTGGATACTTTTTCAAAATGCACATTTTAGAATATGTGTCAAATTCTAATAAAAATTGATTCAATTGTTGTGTTAACTATTTAATATACATGAACTTTGTCTTTTACACTAAGTAATTTGGACGAATCGTTTAAAAGTTATCACGATAAGAATAACTTGACGCAACGCAGTAAGCCATTACGCGTCGCGTCTACTGCAAGACGACGGTGATGATGCGCGGGGGTAGAGGGGCGGTCTAAGCAATGAAGCGCCATCGCCGAGAACGCGACTCGAACGCAGGAAGACGAGTGACGGCAGACGTCGTTGACGGTTGTGTTAGTTTTGCGAAGTTTCTTTATAAAATTCCTGATACCCTTTCTCGATGCTTATTTACGCTATACAAAGAACATACCTGCATATCTCAAGATTATAGGTTTATTAGCTTCGGCTGTACGTTAATATAAGAGTGTCAGTCAATCAATAGGTATCCACTTATAAAATACTAGCTGTTCCCTGGTGTTTTACTCACGCGCCACGTTACTGTGGGAACTTTCCCTATGTGTTATTCCAGGTCATGATCCACCTATATACCAACTTACATTTGAATCCGTTGAGCCGTTTAGGCGTGAAAAAGTAAAAAACGTAAATACATACATTACATTCATCAATACTCACAAACTTTACGCATTTGTAATATTAGTAGGAGGAGGATTACTAGGGTTTTTGCTGATGCTATTCAATGTTGTACCAGTGGGTACCTATTGATTGACTGACACTCTTATATTAACGTACAACCGAAATTACTGAACCAAGAATCTTGAAATATGCAAATAGGTTCTTTGTATAGCGTAAATAAGCATCAAGAAAGGAAATCAGGAATTTCCAATCCCAAGGGTGAAAAATAGGG